AACAACTAATTGCAATTAATAATGGAAAACTATTCAAATACTTGGAAGCATGGTTCTCAACCAACAAAAGACCAACATTAGTACAAAAAGAGATAATAGCTGAAATAATAATTAATCTAAAAAAGTTACATTTTGCTAATATAACAGAAAAACAAATAATTTATATTATAAATAGTGTTATTATTCCATAATTTTCATATTAACTATACTCTTTATTTCTTACCTCAGCCCAAGCAAACACTCTTAACAAGATGTATACTCAATTAGTTAAACAAAAAGCAAAACTAGCTTGAAAAGTTTCTAACTTCTTTTTATATAACTCAGATATTTATGCATTAACAAATATAGCTCAAGCACAACTTTTAGCACTAGTTATAACACTTCAAAAAAATTTAAACCATTCAGATTTTGACTCCTCTTTCTTGAAACTATGATTGCAACAATTACAAGATGCTGTATTCACTAATATATCGATTCTAGCACAACCTTCAATCTTCCTAACAGCTCAAATAAATACACAAACTGGCTAAATAATATTAGCATTACATGCATTGGGCATGCAAACTTCAAGAAATATTAATGATTGGCTCTGTTTAAAAAAATTCACAAACATCTCTATAAATCAAATACTAATGCAACATCCTAGAGCCTCTTACCTTAAAGAAAAACTAAATAGACATAATATTTATTGCATTGAGCAATTTCTAAATGCCACTAACACAGAACTTTTGACATAAAACCAATTTCATCATAATATCAAAAAAATACCAAAAGGCCAGTGCCTACATTGGTTTCACATAATACAAAACTTAATAGCCATATCTACAAATCCATCTTCAACATACTCACAATGCAACTTACATATTTTGGCTAATTGGACTTCTATTAAAAAGGCTAGATAATTACAAACAACTTAACTTTCAAAAGAATTTATAATCTATTTAATAAGAACCTTAAAACTCAATATTATATACTACTATCTGACAATATACTAGTAGTTTGTAAAGGATGCAAACTGAGCAATACATCTTATCACACTAAATATTGCTACTTCAATGCAATAAAACCTATCTATAACCTTCAAGTAGACTGCAAAAAAAGAATTCATATTAATTTAGAAGACTTCAAAAAAGCCATAACACTAACTCCTTTAACAATACTAAGAACTCATAACCAGACAGTACATCTAACATTGGCCCATCCTCTATGTTCTTTTATAAATCCACCAATGACACTTTGGAATAACCTTGTAAAAGCTAACTTTGATACAAAAACTACAACAATTCATATAACAAGTAGATGACAAAACATTGAAAATACTTCTTGAATAATTGCAAAATGTCACTTTCAACACTCTCATCTAACTTTTGAATGCTTTAACAACTTCTGGCCATCTCATCTGAACATACTAATAACTATACTAAATTTTATACTTATTTCATTAAGCTTTTGTACTTCGATAAATATATATACTAATAACTCTACTTTAGTTAATCTTGTCAACTTTACAAATTCAATCCAATCACACAACTACCTAACTTTAGACAAACAACAATATATATTTCTCTTTCTAACTTTAAAAGTCTTGGCATATGATCATGTACTCACAATGATCTTTAACAAAGATCTTCAGATTCAAGAAACTCCTAGTACTATCTTCTTACTAGACTCTATACCTTAAAAGTTTTTATATAATTGGTTTGTTCCAAAACTTCTAGGAAATCCTTGCACTTACCTGGTAAAAACTACACTAAAACAAATACATTAAATTACAAACCATTTAACATAGTTCAACTAATAATGAATTTCACTATAACATATGCCTCAAACAACACTAACTGATTATTAATCCTACAATACATATCATATAGAGAAAAACCTTCAGCTCTAACAACTGACCCAACTTCATCAGCACTTAAAAACTTCAAGATCAAACTAATATTCAAAGAATTACCTACTCATTTTCTTCATCACTGGAGAAATGCTACAAAACATCCAAACCATTTCTGTGCAAGATGTTATAATATATCAGAAACTATTATACACCTTCTAACATATATTAGAAACAATCCAGATCTTGAAATACTGATAAAATATATATTAATTGAAACTGTGAACAAGCAAGAACTACACTATAAAAATACAAGAAAATTTATTCAAACCTTTATTCACAATTATATTAAAAAACAAATGCTACTGAGAATAATAATGAATGACACTTTAGCACTATTTGAAAACAACAAGTACAAACATAAATATGCATCTCTTGTCCATCACAACATCATCTCAGTAATATACAAAAAAATATAGCTCACTTCTAGAGTGATACAACATGAATCAGCTATTCCAATTCTACCTTCAATACAACCACCAACTCTTATTAAAACTATACCAATCTCAGATTCTATCTTAAATAAAAAGATACAACTCTATATTATATATAGACAATCTTCACTTCATCAGCTTATCAAAGACTAGAGGTTTACTGACCATTCTAACAAAGAATAGGTTAAGAATAAAGTAGCTCTTACCTCCATCTTCTCTAGTATAGTTTTTTCATTATGTACCTTTCATATATGTATAATTAACTAATTAATAAAAAAGATAAAGGATAGACCTCTTTTAAAAAAAATAAAAAAATAAAAAAAAAAATAGTAAAACTAAACTATTTGAGACATTCCAAATCATATGTTGATTAGTATTACACAGTTTTGGCAATAAGAATAAATTAGCCTATACTAGTGCTTTGCTAATTATTATATTGTTTAAGATTTCTAAATAGTTTGGGTTACATCTATAAGCTCACCTAACAATATATAGAATTTTAATATATACCTCTTGGCAGAGATGAAGATAAAGATGAAGAACTATGTCTTTTTTTCTGCTGCTTTTAACTATCATTCTTTCTTGGAGCCTGCCTTTTCTTTCAGATATAACTGCTTAATTATGATTCATTTATATACTGTTAAAAGAAGAATAAGTGACTTATAAAAAAAAAAATAAAGAAAAATTGTAAAAGAAATAAGAGACTTGTAAAAGATAAAAGTACTATAAAAGAATCAAAAAATCTTATTCTTTTAATATTTTTAATAATTTACTGCTGGCAAAATTGATTAATGAAGTATAAAATAACCAAATAAATGTTATTATTATTACTATATTTCAAACTTTATTACATCAAATATCAGTACTTGACTATAATTTATCATCTGTTTTACTAATTATTTTTTATTTTTGGCAATGACTTAATTTTGAACACAGTTAAGAAATAGCCTTTAGACATTTATTAATAAAACAGAAGAATAATGCATGCATTTATTTCCTATTTCACAAAATAAATAGTATAACTGTTTTTATTTTAATATCAGTATTTATTAGAAATCCCAATATTAAAATTTGTTTTTAATATTAGGAATTTTATAAATCTGATATTATTATTATTATTACTTTAATATCAATATTATCTTACTTTAATAATTCTGTCACACTAAATTTATTATTATTGCAATTAATATTAGGAATTTTATCATCAAATTTTGATATTAATAGTTTTTATTTTTTTTTTAATAGTAAATATAACAGGTGTTCATTTCTTTTTAATAGTAAATATAGGTTGTATAACAAATAAATAGACAATTAAATTTCTGTAATTTATTTGTTATATAAAAATAAATCTTTATTGAATATTTTATATCTAATAATAGTGTATCTTGCTTTGACTTTAATATGCTCACAACCTGAGATTCAGGTTAATATCTACTTGATTTGTTCTATAAAATGATCATTTTGTGGTCCTTCTAATCACAGTATGATTAAGTAAAACAGATCATTGAGGTTATACATATTAATATTGTTTTGATGTAATAATAATGGCTTGTTATGCTATATTTATACTATTAATATCAGAATTAAAGTCTGATAAAATTTGATAAAAAATCTGATATTATTTGTGTAATATATATTTTATTTGTGATAGTTTTATTTCTATATAAATATTACTTAATAACACTAAATTCAACAATACTTAAATAAATACTAATAAATTGATACATATGATATATAATATATTATTATATTAATAAATAATGTATATATATATATAGTAACAGCTTTTTTATAAGTTATATATAACATGTTTATAATTTTATTTAAATATCTTAATAGTTAAAGCATTTAATATTGATATGATAAAAATATAAAAACAATATATATATAAATGCTGATTTAAATATCAGTATTTACTATTGCTGATTTATATATTAGCATTTATTAATGCTGATTTATATATCAGCATTTATAAATAATACTTTCTATATTAAGGAATTACTGTTATGTATGTTTTTGGAGATATATTTCTAATAGTATATGTACTTGCTATAAACTAGCAATAGATTTGATATATAGAAATTATACAGTTCTTGCTTAATTTATAAAATTCTTAGTCCTACAACTCTATATTACAACTAAAATTATCATTATTAATTTTCATATAGAATCATGTTTATAATCATCAGCAGGTTTATACTATCTTACAAAGGCAAGATGATATGTTTAATTGCTAGAAGAAAGATAAAAAGTATGATCAAAATAGAATTGAACTTGACTAGAATATGAATTTATTGTTTCATCTTATGAAGCAACAAATCTTATTAGAATTCTTAAAGATTTAGTATAACAGGCTGAGAATGTAGATCCAAAAATTTCTAACACCAACTTTAATTGTCCATATTGATTAATGATGGAAGATACAAATATCTGACCATTTGTTTATATATTTTTAGGTTTAACAAATTGATAATCTATTACTATATTATTATAATATTCAACTAAAAGATCTAATATATTAAGTAGTAATATAGCATTTTTTATTTTTGAATCAAAGAATATATCAGGAAATAGTTCATCACCAAAAGCTTCTTCTTCATTAATAAGGTTTTTTAATTTATAAAATTAAAAAAGATTTTGTAATTCAAATTTATCTGAAATGTTTATATTGCTACTTAATTTTTTCTTTCCTTTAATATTTTTAAAGAATCAAATAATCTATTATCATTTTCTGCATATAATACAATTTGGTCTAAACAGTTATTTGCAAGGATAATTCTTATAAGTTCTAGTTCTATATTTCTATGGCTACTCTTATATGAGCCTACAAAATATAATTATAAATATTATTACAAAAAATGATGCTGCATATAAATTATAGTTATAATATTCCTGATATTTATCTAATATTCCATTTATGTGCTCAAAAGAAAACCACCAAAATGAATATAATAGAACATAATCCATACAATTTTCACATATATGTAAACTTAAATGGATATTAAGAGTAATTTTTTTAGGACCATAATGGCATTCTATTAACTTTACTACATTTAATAATCTTTGATATGCTTTATTAAATGTTTTCTTGTCTAATATTCTGCAAACTAACAGATTACATGCTCTGACAAAGTTTGCAAGAATATGCTGGTCTAGTTCTGTTAATAAATCCCAAGTAATTGTAGTAGCATATATCATTATAAATATTCACTACTGGTCTGCAGTATATTCAGAAAATCCTTTTCCTGTAGCAATTTTATAAGGAATTCTTCTGATATTTAATGGAAGCTATAATTTTTTTGCTCTTTTATCTATAAGTTTTAGACTATTAGAACTTAATTTTCTACCTTCTACTTATAGCCATATAACAATCTATTTTGCAATTCCCAAAAATAAACAATGCATTGGGTCTACAGTTACATGTCTAACTGGATTAAAATAGAAAAGATAATAAAGTTCTGACTATCTAACAAAGTGTTTGAATAGGTGTTTTTTTCTTTGATCCTCAGTCTTGCACTATAATCATGCATATGCATTAATTTTAATTTCATCAACATCACATTCTACAAACCAGTCATTCATATCTACAAATTCACTAAAATTAGGTTAATGTCTAGCATCAAACTGGATATGTTTTTTACATTAAAAGTATGCAATTCTTGCTGATATTTGTTCACATAACTTTCTAGCTGCCGAAATATTACATGAGTAGCATATAACAGCACATTTAATTTTTTTTGTATTTATAAATAATTCATTTGTAATAATTTCTATTCTATTCTACAATTCAAGTAATTGATTAACTAAAGGTGCAAGATAATAATTAATGTGATGTAATTTAACTTCTTTCAGCTTTGGTAATAATGCAAGCATGATTATATTTTGAGGCTTGAATCTGAGTTCATAGAGCAAATTGCAAATGACTGCATATATTGCTCTAGTAGAATATATAGAATTTTGAAAAGGACTAAACCAGTCTAAATTAATTATAAAGTCTAAATGTGTATCAGCATGCTCAGCTATAAAGAAATTTGTATCTTTATCTTTAAATGTCTTCTATATATTATTTTTATAGATATTAGCAAGATAATTATTATTTATTTTTTTATTAATCTATTTTCTGCATGATGCTTCAAATCCTCTTTGGCTGTATAATAATTGGAGTTGATTTTAATATTTATTATTGGATAAAAAAGCAAAGAACAATACAATATTTCATCTTTTGTAAGTACTTCTTTTGCTAATAGTTGATTACAAAGTTGTCTTATTTTAAACATTGGATAATTAGAATATTTTATAAAGGTACAACAAAGATATATTGGAATTTGTTCAGACTTTTTTGTTATTACTTCATTATAGTTGTATAATTTATTACATGCTAGACATGTTACATAATTATTTATACATAGACCTAATTCTATTAACTTTCGGACCAAATAGAGTGATTTAGGAAAGTTTGTAAACTGATCTTGATCAAGATAAGTTAATAGATAATAAATAAATTTAAGTAAAGAATCTGTTGCAGTGTCTGGTAACTAATATCTTTATTGGTATTTCAAGATCCAAATTAATATCCAACTAAATCTTTCATCATGATTTCTAATATTCTTGAATATTTCTTCTTCACTACTTTCAATATCAGAAGTTGAATAGTCTAACATAATATCCTCATCATCACTTTCAGGTTCTATTTCTATAACTTCTTTATTATAATCTGAAGTAGCTAAATTCTCTTTAACTAAATCAAAATATGGTTGTTCTCTAATTATAGCTTTTTTTTTTCTTTTATTTTTTGTACTACAAGAAATAATTCTTTTTGAAAACTAACATCCATTAAACTAGAAGTAGAAATACTAATTAATGTGCTACTGCCTTCTATTTAAGGATTAGTGAGAGAAGAAATATCAGATTGAGATTTAACAGAACTTACAAATTTCTCACAAATTCTATATCTTTTTATATGAGTATCTCTTGTTCAGAGATCACAGAGTTCACTTTTTACCTTTGCATATTTTACATATACAAATAACCTTTTTTCATATTTTTGATGCAGGTAACTTAACAAACATTTGATGACTTATTTTTAAAATATGTTTTAGAAGTTACAGTATTTGATATAATGAAATAAGGCAGACGAAAGATCGTTAAATACAAAATTATATGTATATTTTAGTAATATATTTTTTATTTACTATTTCACTATAATTTTCTATGATAAATAGAATCTCTTTAATGCAATAAAGCCCAATCTGTAAAAACAAAAAGAAGTGCATTAAGTTATTTAATAAATTACTTTTTATATCTTCTTGGGCAACCTCTTACAATTATAAAACTTATTTTTTTTTGAGACAATTTAAAGCACAAGAAGCATTTTTAACTATAAGACTATTGAAACTATTTAGAAATTTTCTTTTTGATAGCAACTTATTCTTAAATATAAAAAATTTCTTGTACTATCTTTCAAAGTATTAATATAATAGAAAATGGAAATCTCAAAAAATACATAAATATCATAATAGGAGTATTGGTAATTTGACTTATATACCAGAATAGGAGTATCGGTAATTTGACTATCAAAATAAATAATAAGAAATAGGATTTAATTTTTTATAGTAACTTTATTTAACAATAAGACTATTGACTATTAATACTATTTAGAAATTTCTTTTTTGTAATAATTCATTTTTAAATATAAAAATTTCTTGTACTATTTTCAAGAATTAGTACAATAGAAAATAGAAACCTTAAAAGATATATATACTAATAAAAATATTAGTAATAATTCTATATATCAAAAATAAACTAATAAGAAAACAGCATTAATTGCAATTCGATTTTTCTAGTAATATTAACTTTATTTAACTATAGGTCCATTGATATTATTTAGAAATTTTCTTTTTGTTAATACTCATTTTTAAATATAAAAATTTTTTATACTATCTTTCAACATACTAGTACAATAGAAAAATAGAAACTTTAAGAAATAATTGTTTACTACACATATACCAGAATAGAAGTATTGGAAATTTGACTATCAAAATAAACAATAAAAATAGGATTTAATTTTTTTATTTAGCAATAAGACCATTGACTATTGATACTATTTAGAAATTTCTTTTTGTTAACAACTCATTCTTA